ATTAGTATATACTTTATACACACACTTTTTCAAATTTCTTGTTTCTGGAAAAAGTTCGGAATTCAGCCAACTGTGTTGGGTACTATTAATAAAATAAATTACTTTAATAGCAATATAAATATTTAATAATATTATAATATACCTATTTAGTAACATAGACTGACAGATCGTCTTCGCGCAGAATCGTTTTTTTATACAATGATTTTTATAATTGAATTAAAATGTAATACATCAATTGCAAAGAAACATACGACGCCCAATGTACAGCAGAATGGTATACCCACTAACCCACCTTTTTAATAATTCTCTTCAATATATTTGTAAAAAAATATAATGGCTGTTTAACATATCAACTGGTTATTAATGTTTTGCTATTGACTTTAGCTAGAGATTTAGTTGTAAAATACTAGTGACTAATAAGTATATACTTGACAGTTACAATTATATTTAAATATAAATAATCTTTATTAGAAAAAATTTGCTCACACTTTAAAACTTATGTTTTAACTAAATGACAATAGTTTTTAAACTTATTTTAGGATTTTATTAATACGTTTTTAAAATTGTTTAAAGAAGTTTCGGGGTATGAGTGATCCCGGAAAGAGTTTCCTGCATGATCCGTAAGTCAATAAAATTAGTGTATCGTTTATGTATAATTATATTACTACATATAGTACATAGTCAGGATTTGGAATTTAAAGCATTTTTAAAATATAACAAAAGCTGTTAAAACTTTCTTTTGAGCACTGAAATAAGCACTTAAAATAGGTACATTAAAATAAGAAAAAAAATCTAAAAAATCTTACCACCGATCCTCAAACTCAAAAAATTAAAAATAATAAAGCCTCTTATAAAAAAAAAATCCATAATTTTTCTCTTAAATAATATAGAATACTAAGTATTTGTTCCTGTGCTGATTATATTTGTTAACGACTTTAAAAATCAATTAGATTTTGTTCGTTTTTCCATTATTATGTTAAAGTGTCGTGAATGTCTTAACGTATGAATTAAAAAAATAAACACTTTTGAGTTTCATACTTTAAAGTTGAGATCATAGTAATATTACATAAATTTCCATAGCACACTGCCAGATTTTATATCAAGCCAAAAAATAATCAAATATCTTAAGGGGATTTCACTCTACAGTTTTTAGAGCAAAATATACCTATATATATATATATATATGTGCGTTTCATCGTACTGAATTGAATTTTACTCCAACAATACTTTTAAAAGCAATTCGAGTCCAAGTGATAAAAAAAATTTGACAGTATTTTTATTCCATTTAAATTTTAAAAAATACAATTTTTTTTATACCTACGTCTCAAGTTAAGATATTTTCCTTAGAAGAACAATAAATTGAATATGTGGAGCAAAGGATCTAAAGTACGCTTAACAACAGAATCTGAATAAATTCTGTTTTCAAAATTGTTATTGGTTTAAAATTCAAGTCAGGGTGCCGGAACTCGTTTTTGTCTGATTTACAACATTTTGCCCTGTAATAATTTCCATTTAAGGCATTTTTGACATGTGGAAGCGTAATGCTACTCCACTTGTTGTCGAATGATGTAAAATAAACATCATAATAAATTCAAATATGATTTCAAAATTATATTGGGCTATCAGAATAAAACCTAAGTCAATAAGCAGGAACGCGTATAGGTGTATTTTTCTTTAAAAAAAGGTAGTGGGGAATCACCCAGAGTCCCGAACTTATGTTATAAATGTATATAGTAATTGATAGTAGCAAATGTAGAATAAAATATTATGAAACGTTAGACGTTAGGTATTTAAAGTTTATAATTTTACACCCTTTCTTTTTATTGGCAGTCATATTTTTATAATACTATAATATTGTTCGTAGATATAATCATTCATATTTTATACTTTGATTTTTTTAGCACAGAATATTTATTAATTATATCATTATTAAAAAGCAATCGAATACAAATATTATACAATATTATCCATTTCAAATGTAATACATGTCACGTAATAATGTGTATTTTTAATACACATTGTATTAATAATATTTAACAGTATTATACTTATATTCATATTAGTTAATAATTAAAAATACATTACCTAAATGTTATTTGTAAATGTGTATTAGTGACACTACATGATATCGTGCATATTATGAATAATTATTTTTAATTAATTATGAATGAATCACAGTATTAAACTAATGGACTAAAAACTATCTATTATTAATTAATAGATCAATTATGTTTAATAATTGTGAATAATTACTAATTAGTTTACTATTGGTAATAGCATTCACTATAGCTATTTTAATTGGTAGTATATGCTACTATGCCACTATGATGGTGCCAATATGGATTAAAAATGTAATAGTTAAGAGGTAATATAGTTTTATAATATTCGTTCAAACTTAATTTTTAACGTAGGTGCTTATAATTTCAAAAAAATTAATTTAAGTTGATGTATAGTGTACATATATTTTTCCGAAATCAAACATATTTATAACAAACTCAAAGAATTAATAAAATATATCGAAAATAATTAAATACCTACCTATTATACGTTAATGTTTATACCGATGAGCATATGATTGAATATTTGAATAGCAAGTCGAGGGAGAGGTAGGCCAAAGAAAAAGTGGTTAGAGGTCAGGGTTATGATTAGGGAATATGAAGGCACGTGGCATGGATGTAGAGATAATTATGGGTAGGGAGTAGTGGAAGACAAACATAAGAGTATGTAGTTGACCCCCGTGGCGTCGGATGATAAAGACGACGAATACCTAAGGAGCGTCCATCTATAGATATTATATTTAAAACAAATCAAATAAGCCATAGGAGGAGTCATAGGGTCAAAAAAAAAAAAGAATTTCATAAAAACGAAATCTGTATAAGCTCAAATATACTTATTTATTTTCTTTATGTATAAAAAAAACATAGGTATATTCAATTAAAATTTAAAAAAAATGTATTTTTCAAAGTCGATTTTACACTTTTACAGTCTTGAACCAGCTATGCATATACGTAGTATCTCTTTGAACATAAATATAATATAGCTTCTACCTCTGTTTCCGATAGAAATGTTTCATATTTTGAAATACTTGTCCGAGGTGTCAATGTGTCATCATTCTTTGCTATTTACTTCAGTATAGTTGAGTTTTTGAAAATTGGTGAATCTATTTAACAGCTGTCTTGGAAAATACCTATATTAGAGATACAGAAAATTGTAGTACACCAAAATAATATGATCCCGACTCCTGAAGCAGTGAAACTATGTTAGACTTAAACACACCGCATACCTATATAATGTGACAATGGGTGTATTTGGTGCCATACATTTATTTAAATCTACAGTTTTGGACAGTTTATATTCCGATAATAATTATTCGAGTAGACGGTATATTAAAGTCCTTGGCACTAACGATCACTCCACATCCATAAAATATCTCTAATTAATCTGTTCTGAAAATCAATGGAAGATGGTAAAAATATGAGTTATAGTCTATAAAAAACATCATTAATTAATGTTTAATAATAATTAAAATATGGGGGGAAATTTACATCATTAATTGATTGACGTAATCGAGTAATTCCGGTAAAATCGATTATTCCATATACCTATACCACAATACTTTCAACAATTAGGTACTGGGAGTTGTCGAAAATGAACTTTCTTAAGACGTTGGTTGGTAGACTTCGTCATTATGCAGCGTTTTACAATTTCTAATCGTCGGTGTTGGGATATTTCTGTACACGAAATGTTTGAAGTACATAATACATTATACTACTATTAGACTTACAGCATCATATAATATAAGCGCAGCTTCTAAAAATTAGAAGTACGTAATAATTATAATTTACCTATACATACTACATATGGGTATAAATATCTGCCAAAAAAACGTAAGTAGGTACCCGTGCGTAAGTATTGGTACATATACATACCTACTATAAACGTATTATTCGAAAACGGACTTGTGGAAAATAAATTACTTTCTCTTCCACCTATTATAGCTGCAGTAGGTGCCTATATAGTTATATTCGAACCAAATTTAATCGGTGTCACATCATCATTATTATACATATATTCGTCGTCGTCACAATAACGTAGCTAGGTATATAGGTACAGTATATCCCAAATATCGAATACACCCTATGTATGTATTTCCGCGGAAGTTGTAATACTTTTATTATTTTTGAAATGTTAATCAGATTTATATTCATATATTTATAATAGACTTAATGTCGAAAAAAACCACATTTTTGTATAGTATATATATCGAGACACTTAAGGCGACACGGGACTTTCGGCACACACTGTATTATCTGCAAACCTACTGCAGAATGTCGCGGAAATATTAATGGGTATTGCACGTCCATAGCTGTTTTGTAACCACGGGCCGTGGCGAATAAAACAAATACCTATACGGCGATACATATTATTATTATGTGTCATGAGACGCGACGATTTCACACGCGCGTAGCCGATGAGAAGTAGGAGACCACGGAGGACGCAGACCGCATATATTGGAATATCACAGTATACACAATCGTCGCTAAGCACACATACCTCAAACGCCTATAATATACTCATAGTACCTGTATAATAACAATAATAATAATAATAATAATAATAATAATAATAATATAACTACGCGATGGGTATACGTATGTGCGATGCGTATATATTAAAACTTGTATCCTTTCCATTAAATCCATCGCGGAGGTCTTCTTCTTCGCGTACCTATCCAACCGGATGTCTTATCACCGTGTATACAAACGATATTGTGTATACATATACATGCAGGTACCTCCTCCCATATACATTTATATACGTATATATTATAAATTATATATAACATACTTGCGTCGCGTGTGTGTGCGTATATAAAACCGTATAACCCACTTACCACCGCGATCACGTGAAAGTATTCGGTCAAGGTCCCCCCCGGGTACCACGGCCACGGTCGGTCAATCGGGTACCCGTCGCATACCTACCGGCGGCGGCGGTGGCACGTATATTAATTTTCTATTCGTTTTATACGCGTCGATCTAAGCGTTCGGAGGGCATTCGTTTCGGACGTCGCGATCGCGTTCCAACGTCCTCTCATCGCACTCGTCATATTCGGTATTTACATTATTATTTCTATCGTTTTATAGACTGTCAACAGTCACCTAACGTAGGTATATCATAATATCATACGCCACCGTAGTCGTCTTAAGCTGCGTCGACGGCCGTCACCGGGGTCCCGTCTCTATACTCAGTCGTTACCGGTCTCTCACGCCATTCGGTCAACACGATATAGTATTATAATTTATAGTAAAATACCCATCGCGTTTCCGACTCGGCTTTTCGTGTCGGCCCAAGGAAAATGTCACTTTCCGCTTGCGGTCTCGCCGTTATCGCGTGCGTCGCGGTGGTAGTATTGCAATGTGCCGTCGATTCGACTGACGCTTTGCCAACCACAGATCTATCGCTGCAGTCATCTACACCGCTGTCGCTGTCATCGAGAGACATCGAAGACGAAGTACTCGGCACGAGTGCCCTGACCACTACGTCAACCGGTGTAGTGGTTGGTGATTATGCGGTCAAGGATACGGCTTTGGGTAAATATCAATTAACGGTTTCTCCGATACGTATATATTACACGAGGTGTGGAACACGCACGGCAAATGATGCGACTGCACCAGCACTGTAATCGGTATATAAAGTACAATTGTACCTATGCAAACACATTTATATCAATACTAAATAGCATCCATTATATTTTTTGGATGGCCTAAGAAATATATATTTTACTGTTTATGAAATCTATATATATATATATCATTTTCTAGAAATAAGCTGTCCACCTCTATAGTTACTTCTATACAAATAATATATATGTAAACGTTTGAATTATTTGTTCTATTATATTATAACAGATTAACAGGTTTAAATCGTTTGTTTGTAATTACAGTGGACAATGAAAAGGGCCACATTAAACCTATCAAGAAAAAGAAACCTTTGGGCAAACACAAGAAGAAAAAGCATTCGTTTAAAGATAAATTCTTGCCTCTGCTTTTAATACCATTTGTTATTCAAACAATGCTAATACCATTTTTCATAATGAAACTGAAATTGTTAGCTTTGAAAGCAATGGCAGTGGGCAAGTTCGCAATTTTGTTGATCGCTTTTAATATGATGCGCAATTGGTCACAAAATGCACACAGTACTTCGATTCGTGGCTCATCTGGGGTAATTATTAATACTGTCTGACATTTAATTACGTTTGACATAGCTTCAATAACAGGCCTAATTAACTAATTAAATATTTTAAATCGTGTTACAGGATTCATTGCTCATGGCTCAAAATTACGGTTTCAACGGTGTTCCGGAGTTCGGAGCAATATTTAATGGCCGTTAGTAACTGACCGACTTTTTGTAATGCTTTATAATTTATTAAATTTATAATTTAATGCTCTCTGCACACGTTCGACATCGGACGTAGTGCTAAATCAACGTAAGACTATTTATGAACAAAATCACCAATGATGTATTATATATTATATTAATGAATGTAATATTTCGTAAGGTACATTACCTACATTTTATTATATAGTATTTTATCATTAACCATGTCTCAAAATTAGATTCAATTTATGTTATTTTGTGCCTTATATCTATATTATAATATTGTCATAATTATCATAAGTTATAGAACTATTATATAATATTATATTTTACATTTTGTATGTATATTACCACTATGTGGCATGTATAACTATCGGTGTATAATTATTATTTTGATAATTTAATAAATTAAAATACGAATAAATAACAATAATTATTATAAACAGGAAGGTACGCAAGTATTTATGTCTATATTTACTGACTCACTATTAGACAGAGCTATTAGCTATATACAATGTCTTTTTTTATATAAATTGTGAATAAATATACATTTTGAATCGGTTAGCGACTATAGTGTTTACACAATATATACCTGTCTAGATACCTAGCAAAATATCTATATTATACATTATTGTCTTAACTGCTGCAGTTGATTCTTAAATTATATAGTTTATTTCAATAAAAAATACATAATAATTCATTTTATTATAATAATGACGCAGGGGTAAAATTAGTAGAAGTAATTGTATTTTAGATAAATGTTAATACTAATTATTATTCTTCTATCCTTTTTATACATCATACATATTACATAGATAAACAGTTGCCTGCAGTTGTAGAAGAGCCATTTATAAGTAGTTATATAGCCAATAGGTTTACCTAGAACTCTTCAAGTTCAAGTGACATACAAAAAAAATTACCTAACATTTACATCACATACTATATATTTAAAAATGTATTATTATAGTAATAGTTTTTAGTTTTAACATTTTAACAAACAGCCATTATAATATAGTAGGTATGTATAGTCGGGCTGAGCATGTAATGCCGAAGGTAAATGAGAGACAATTTAGTATCGAAGTACATTATACTATGTACATTTATAAAATATTTATGCATTTCATAAGTTACTGTAAGTCAAATATAATATTGGTAGCTTTAATATCCAATCATAATTATTTCAATAGTTAATAATATTAATGAAAATGACATGTCTTAACTATTTTAAGTACTATTAGTGTCTAATTATTGTCGATTTCTACTAAATAGATTAAAGATAACACTAAAGTAGTTATGGTATATAATATATATATATTTTTAAAGAGTAATTTAAAGCATTATTTTAACGTGAACAAATACATCCAGAGACACGTTAAAAAAATATCGGGAAACTCACTCAGCTGCATTAGCAATAAAAGGTGTCAAGTGTACCTAGTGTCATTGAGTGGGTCACTGTAATGGATGTTTTAAATTTAAATTAAATAATCACTATCATTCCATATAAATGACGATTATGAGTCAACATGTATAAATAAGTATATTTTATGATATATTGATATTCCTATATTAATAAATTATTATAGTTATTCATTTTATTATTAATTGAATTAATTAACTAACAGTAGGTTGAATTAATTACTGACAAAAGAAACCATAACATATATTGTACCTATTAATTATTGTAATATTGTTATACCGAATATTCCTAATATTATAAGCTGTTATTAACTTGGAAGTCAATATAACGATGTAGGAATCCTCCGTTAGGTTAGTGAATACTGATGTGGCGATGTGAATAGGATCATCCTACGAATAGCTAGCTTAAAATTTATCTAAATATTTTGAAAATAGAATTATAAATTAATACAAGCAGTAGTGAAAAGTTGGAGCCATCACTATAAAAATTGAAATTTCATTAATTTTCAACTATAGTCTATAGCCTATAGGTATTATAGTTTCTAGCAAACCTTTGTGATTCGAAACAATATTATGTAAACATTTTAACTCCAACTACTTGTAAAAATTAATTGTGACTATATATTTTTAAATTTCTATCGGAACAACTTATGAGGGATCTTGTATTAATTATTTATCAAAGTTTTTAACACAGTAAAGATATTCTAGGAGTTTTTAAAACAATCAGGAAACACAAAAAAGTTTTGTTTTTTTGTAATAGGTAACTCAAAAATAAATATTCAAAAAATGTTCTATAGGTTAAACAACTTGATTATTTAAGACAAGTTTCTTATAAGTTGTTATAAGTAAAATTAAGTGGTTCTACCGTTCATAAAAATCAAAAAACCATGTTATCACAATTTTTAAATATACGAGTACTTTAATTTTAAATTTGGACGAGATTAGACATTTTAACAAAGAATAATGATTTTAGTTATGTTGTTGTAATTTAAAAATATTATTTGTGGACTGTGGGTACTAGAAACATTTAAAGTAAATATACCATTCAATTTATACACACAATGACTTTTCCAAATTCAATGTTCCCGTTAAAAATGAATTCAACCTATACTGTATTATCGGCAAAATTAATGAATTACTCAAATTATTTACCGGTGTTGACTACAAAAATATAATACCATTTCAGATTGTTGTCCTCACGGCTCACAGATGAGTGAGGGGTGAAACGTGTGTAATGTATATAACATTTATCATTTCAAGTATTTGAAATATTGATAAACCAACTAGAATAAACGAGGTACTTTTGGAGATTAGTGAAGTCACTCAGGATAGTGTTTGACATGAAAATATAAATTTATAATATAAGATGAAGTCTTGGGGCTTATATTTAATACTATGTGGTTGTTGCAAATGTTGCCAGAAGAATGCGTATGATAACAACAGATGACTGATTAGATTTCTTATTTCTTATAATTAATATAGCTTTTTGTAGTGTTGGTTAAATTACTTTTAAAAAGTAACTACTAAGTTACTTAGATTAAAAGTTACAAAATAAAAAGGTGACTATAGATTACTTTTTCGCAACCAAAATACAAAAGTAAAAGCGTTACATTTCTTTTTTTTTAATTGGAATGAATTACAGTAAAAAGTACCCAGTACCTGATACCAACGGCTATTTAATGTTCAATATGATTACGGAGTACCTATACTTATGTATCTGACATCTGCACGGTAAATTGACCTATTGAAACATTTGAGCATGAAAATCTTTTGACTGGTTTTTTCGATATTTTAATTAAATCAGTTATAATAGGCAATAGAATTATTATGATTTGTTTATTTTAAAAACATATATTTATCAATATAAATAGGTACAATTTAAATGTATAATAAGAAAAGTACAAATAAATAGTAGTAATATATCATTTTTCCATTTTCAGATCAAATAATGAGTCTACTGTCTTTTACACAAAAATTACATTGTATTATAAATATTTTAAACATTAAATACTTATGTTTCATGTTCTAGTATAAGCTCACCAGACGTAGATTGCAAATCATTTGTACAATTTAATTGAAAAGACAGAATTTCATTTTTACAATAAATTAGGTGTCGTATTCGTAAATTTATTTTAATATTAACTTAATTGAGTGTGGATATTTTGAACAGTAAAATATTTAGTAATAACGGATACTATAGTATAATAGTTTTGGTTTGTTTATTGCGGTATAAGAAGTGTTAATACCTAGGTACTTATAACTATAGGAAACAGCTAGTCTATATTTCTATAATAACTAATAATTATTCTCTATAGTATTCTGCTAAGTAGTTTAATTGGCAAACCAAGTATGTAAGAATTACGCATGGTCAGGCACGAAAACAGCGTGTGTGGCGGAGGCCCCGGGGTGAAAGAGATTAAAATGTTCTCAAAAAATTATTTTTTTGCCACGGCCGTGGACGATTTAATTTGAAAACTTTTATTTGTCTCCTTTTATTGTACCTCCCCTTCAGATATTGTGTTTTGTAACGTGCCCAAGCATGGTAATTTATAGTATTTCGGTGATAGTAACTACTACCGTTACAACTCATCTAATAGGTAGCTACGGTTAAATAATATAATATAAAAAATTAATAGCAATATTGTATAATATTATGTTTACAATATTTATACGGAAACGTTTTTCCATTTGTCTGGAAAGAGGGCAGGCACCTTGCGTAATAAGCGTGTCGTACGCATCATATAATTATATCGATATAGTTTAGATATAATAATACAGTAAAACCTCCCCTAACTTACACATCTAAATACCTGACGTTTTTTTGAGAACAAACTACAAGCTATCAATAGAATGAATCCTCTGAATGGCGACATGGCGTACAGTATCTTCTCGAGCAATAGACACAATTTCAGCGACAGAGAGTGTCCGGTATTCAGAGGTTTCACTGTATTATGATATCGGTTATCCTAACCACCGGTGATAGACACTATTGCTGGCAGTCGTTGACTCGGCGCCCAGTTGCAGGTGGTTGTCGCCTCGATGCTTCATCGCGGCGGCGTCGTAGTATTCCTCGCCCGCGCGATTCCAATACGCTCCGCCGCCGCCGCCACCGTTATAATAATAATTGTTGTCGTCGTCATCGTCATCGGCCAGTTGCAGCGGTGATACCTTCGCATAGTTGACCGCCGACGGCACAGGACCGTGCGAGTAGCCACCTGCTGACGGCCCAGGACCGTGCGAGTAGCTGACCGCCGACGGCACAGGACCGGGGGGCGAGTAGCCGACTGCTGGCGGCACATGACCGGGCGCGGTGTGCACGTGCACGTGTATGTTTTTGTCTTGCGAAGGGGGCGGCGGTGATTGCAGTTGCGATGAACGGTCGTAAGGGTCGTGATGGTATCCAGACCAGGCCGAAAATGCAGGCATCGGTGACACGTAGGGATTGTGGGACTTGGACAGCTTGGCCACTAAACCGGTCAAGGCTATGATAAGCAGTATCACTCCGATGGTCACCCCCTTGAGGGTAAGCACGACCAAACCGATCAACAGCGTGGTGATCACGCCCATTTTGTACATCATCGGTAACATGAAGAACAGTTGCATCCGTCGGGGTCCTACGCCGAAAGTCCGAGTGACTGAAAAAAACAAAATTAGGATGCTTTAATATAGATAGGTAATAAATAATAATCGTAGGTGGAATTATAACTGACGGGGAGAGGGGCTTAATACTTAAAATGCAATAAAAAATGTATCGTTTCCCTTGAAATACCATAATGAAAAAGTTTTTATAGATAATATTAGGAAATTATTTAGTTTTTTCTTTAATTTATTTGTTTTTAGACCAATAATGTACAAATTATTTTCTATTTAAAATTTTAAGACTTCATTCTGTTTTATTTTTATTTAAATATTTAAGATTTTAAATTATGGTACAATGTCCTTCCAAATTTGTTCTTAAGCCCAAAAATATCGGAAATACATATGCATAGTTCTCTATGATACGTGTTTTAAGTTCAATCAATTGTCCACTTTAAATAAATACAGCCTTGGCTGTACCTATAGGGTTTTGTTCGGCTCAAGGTAGCGCCGGTCATTAGCTAGGCTGGCGCGGCGGATGAAGTCATGCCTATGATTATCCGTCTCTTTTGCCCAAAATTATTTTTTCGTATACCCATCTTAGACGGTTAGTTACATTATCAGATAACCTCTCCCCCCCCCCAAAAAAAAAAAATTGTCAATGTCAAATAAATTTAAAAGATTACCACTATAGGGGGTTTCAACAATTTTTTACTGATTATAATATGAAAAAATACTGCAATGTAAATTGTACCCTTCCATGGTTACACCTTTGATTGCCTCCATAAAGAACTTCAAAGAAAATAAATAGTTTTTTTCAGTTAAACTATTTATACTAATATTTTTAAGAAAATATTCTACATACAAATGGTACTTTTCTTTTGACATTTTGGACATTCCTTTAAAAAAAATAATATAACATTTTTTTTAAATTTGTTTCAAGGTAGCTTAAAAACATTTGAGGGGGCTAAACTCCCCAATTTCTGCAAAATGGTAATAATATTTTATACATTTTATTAGTAAATATATTGTATTCTATATGTAATGAGTTACATTCGTTTAGTGAACACTTTATAATATACTAATATTCACCATGTAAGTATGTAACCTACCTATGGACAGTGGACATGTATCAACATCGTTAATATGACGATTCTTATATAAGATACACTCACGGATAATATTTTATTTGTTTTTCGAATTCGTTTTACATTTACACTAATCAGGAAAATTTTACATAATATCATAGATAACTTTTAAATGTTCATGTAATAAACTAATAAATACACTATACACTATTTATAATAATTAAAGTTTATTCTTATTCACTTATTAGCCATAAGAAATAATTAAGGGTGCCCTGCTACTCTGCATATTGAGTAGGGTGTACTATTTATCTTCTTAAAAAATACACAATTCAGGTGAGTGGAACGAGTTTGTCACTTATCGATTGTTGCATAATCTGCGCCAGCTAAATTGGCAGTGATTAGCAGTAGGTGTAACCCAAACTAGTCGTAGTATACGTTTTTCTTTTTCAAAATTAATGAACAAAATCTTTACCTTTTTGGTTCGCTGATAATTATTTGGTTATATATAAATGTACATAGATACGTAGAACATACTGTATATTTTTAATTTCTAGCATATTTTGATCAGTGGATAAAAATAAGATTACTTTGGTGTGGTCAGAAAAACAAGTTAGAGGGAGAGGTAAGGATATTAAGGATATTAATCGAACGGTTGACAGCACTTAAAATTTTCAAAGAACTCATCATTTATAACCAAAAAACTAAAACGACTGAGAACGAATTTATGTGGAACATTGTGACGCCTATCATTTAATTGGATATCGAACGATTCTGGACGTCAAATTTTTTGAAACTAAAAATTTAAGTGTAAATAAAAATAAAAATAGTATACGGCTATTTTTAAAATAAGTTATAATAAATGTTTGTTTAGTTATATAAATTAAATGTGTGAAAACATGTTTTCACTTTTAAGTTATAATCGTAAATTATAATAATTATAATCTTACAAAAAATATAGGTATTCAAATTACAAATATAATGGGCTATGTCTAATAAATAATATTTTGTAATAATAGTATAACTATATGTCACTTCCTGGATAGTGTTGGTCAACATAATATTCAAAATATTTTAACAAATTAATTGAATTTTGTATGCATTGGTATTATATTTATTTTTATGTTTACTGTTTTGTTTTTTTATTTTTTCGGTAATTTTTTTTTTACCTCGTTCTTTGTTAGTTCATTAACTCTAAAAACGTATCTTTGACTTATTCTTGACTAACAAAGTGAAGACCAAAATACGACTTAAGCCACTTTTCTATAAGTTATAAAACTTTTTAAAAGTATACCCAAGTTGATTTTCACTATTTATGTAGACTGTAGTATCAGATATCGTGCTCGATCGTTCAATGAAAATTATTAAATATGCTAACGTTTAAAAATGTAACTACGTATACATAATTCAGGGTTTGGTAAGTTCCTAAGTTCACACACGAAACATATCAGGTAAATGGTTACATAAAGAAGTTTTTACTAGAGAAAAAAATACCCATATGTCAATTTCTACACCACGAACAAAAACAAACCAATACAAGAAGGTAAAATGTAATGGATTATTTTGTGATCTGTATGTGTATAATACTTAAACTTAATTACTACTTTTTTTTAAAGACAATCTGTGTAATTTTGTTTAGTAAATAATGGACTGAATTCAATTAAAGATGAAACTAAAGACTTTTTAATGTGACAATAAGAACAACCAAATTTTAACCATATCAACTATTTAAGTTAGACCATTTAAAAAATGTCATAAAGTGGGAAACTTGCAAATTATTTCACTGAAGTGCCAAATATCTTAACACTTTTCAGGTGAGACGAGACACTCAGTGTAATATACCATTAACCTCAGTGATTCTTAACCCCTGGGGTACGTGGTGCTATAGTCGATTCTGGGCATGGACACTTAACGCACGTTTGCATTGTTTGCAATAATTTAATTGTTAGGTATAAATTTAAAAGTTTATTATTATTTTGTACTCGAGCATCGCAACTTTTTTTCTTATATCTGCTTATCTGATATTTATCAAAATGGGATTTATTGTAAAAAATTAAAAGATTACTTATTCGGAAGAAAAATTGTGAAGCAGGTGAAAAAGTCATTCATCAAAGGACTATACTGTGCGCGACTTATCGCGACTCTTATTAAAAAGTTTAAAAAACACTGATGTATAACATAGTTTGATACTCATGGACCTATATCGTGTTAGAAAATAATGTATCAAACAATCAAAAAATAATATTAATCCAAGACAACAACAATAATTAACAAAACTAATGTAAGTGGTTAATTACACAAAAAACACGATGTACTAATTAGAAAGTAAACGCATCTCTGCAGGAGTAGTGCTATAGGCTCAGCCAAGTTAACAAATTATAAGTTGAATAAACTATTGTACCTAGTATACACGGCAAACCAGAACAATGCTAATAATTGTTGAGAAATCGGCCAATATCCCAGATCCCAGGTCATAACAACTAAACCTATAGTTTAAAAAAATAGTAGGTTTACGACTTGCCAAATCCTTAATAATTTTTTCTTAGAATTTAGTATATTATAAAGAGTTTTTAATTCTATGTATTAAACATTTTTTTTTTAAGTTTTACTTACTTTACGTGTTTAAATGCGGTCAATTAAAATAGTTAAACGAGGGCAACCAAATTGAGTCACTAGGAAAAAACCATATTGCCATATTGGAAATGCGTCTCAATGATAATAATCATATATTCTATTAATGCATCTATTGAATTATACCTACTAGTAGGTATAGTACATTTATATTGTATTATAAATTCTTATAATAGTATAATACTGTAGTATCTACGCCGAACACGTTTTAATAATAATAGTAATTAGGAATTCAATTTAAAAAAGATGATAGCTGTAAATCGTATAATTTTGCATATCGATAAATTTTATTCAAGAATCTATACTAGCGAGATAAAAATCTGATTCATGTCGTAAACATTTTAAATATTAAGTTTCATGTAGGTAAATATTTTAGATGTTAATGAATATAACTGTTTTTTTTATGTTTCATTACCTATAACATTTATAATTAGGTTTATGCATTTCTACGATATATGTGTATACAGAATTACTTAGCAGTCATGACATTTTGTAACTGTTAAATGTCACATGAGTACAATATTTTGTTTTCATTAAGACATTTTAAAGATAATGTTAAGAAATTGAAATAATATAAAATATTACAGACTTATTGGTGTATTATCACAATGGATATTTAAAGAGCCTCATAATATTAATTTTTTGTTATGTTTATATTATAATATTATATGTACCTTATTCTTAAGCTATGATAATTATATAGGTAGGTTTCCTTTTTTGAGTTTTGTTTCGATTTGATTCACAATATCTGTATGTTAATGTTGTATGAAAATATCTATAGTGCAAATTATCGTAAATATATGCGTATAGTGTGACTATATTTTGAGGATTTACACTTAATACATTTTTCTAAATCAATTTTCATTTTCTTGATAGTAACAAAATAAATATCTAAGTGACGAGAAAAAAGTATGTTCGAGGTAGGTACCTACAGATTGATAGAGTATAGATAATATAGTATAATACTATACATGTATATTGGTACCCAATATCATTCTGAGTTCCGCTGCAGATACCTACCTGGCTACCTATACATGCAATAGCTCATTATAAGTTAGTTAAAAGTTTATAACGATTTTAAAACGGGTCGATTTCAACGGACACCGCTGTGTATAACGACTATTTATCATATTTACCGGAACTTTGCGAATCGTCGGTGCGTCGAGTTACGCCGAGTACGTATCGCTGCTGCTCTCGATCCTTGTAGACGTTCAAGTCCAGCCCTCGGACAACAGCGTTGCGCCAGGATAGCCGATGGTTGTCGAAAACGGCGTCTGCTTGAGCCACGAGGTCGTCGGGCAAAGACCCCGACGCCACCGTCAATCCACCTGTGGCACGGCGATCGGAGTCGACCGTTTCCAGCCACAAGTCGCCCGCCAGCCGACGGTCGTGCGTCGATTCGCGTACGCGGCTCAGAGCACGCGCGATCATCGACCGCAATCCCATTGGTCCCGGCGCGGCGACTCGGTCATCGCCCCGGTAATCCGCTGGCTGGACATCACTGGCAGCATCGCAGCATCCCGACACCAACGTCGCCGCCGCGTGCAGAAGCAACGGCACGATACAGAGCCCGGTCCACCGCATGGCGATCACTGGCCGTCGCGGAAGTTTCGGCGCATGGCGGTGCAGGTGCGCAACACGAACGGTCGAACGCGGCGGATTTTAATTAATATTATTGATAGTAGTGGTAGTAGTGGTAGTAGCAGTATCTACGGAGTCGTTGTGGAATGGCGAAAAAATGATTTGTTCAAAACACCACCACAACCGGAAATTTAGCGCGGACGATGTGCGACGATGATGCGACTTGCTCCGGACGGACCACCGCGGACTGCTATAACATGTCTGCCGGCTTTTTGGCACTCGTCGCCATATTATATTATTATATTATAAGTAATATACAGTCGATTATGATTCACCGCGTGGTTACCGGGTCATCGTCAAACGAACGTGTACATTCACTCAAATCACTTTCGCGCACGTATGAATGACAAATGACAATAGCGCGTGTGCTGCTGCCGGAGAAGCGACAATCGTATGTAGGTACGTACCTACCTCGTGCGAGTGCGTATCTATATTATATATAGAGGTACTTATGTACAATTGCCGCAGTACATATTATATATATGTGTGTGTGTGTGTGTGTGTGTATCTGTCAACGCGACCAATCGAACATTCCGTCCTCGTCTTCGGCCCACATAAATTAATTTTTTATATTATTATTGTCATCATATCGTTGTTATTGTTATTAAATGCGCGGCGTGTTCACGTAGATAATATAATATAGTATTATAATAACTGTATTCGGCGCGTGTGCGATGCGTTCGTGCGGTGGCCACGTCGTATCGTACAATGCGCGTGTTTCTCCGCGTTGTCGCGTTGCCACTGCGGCGGTCACTATATTATATATACGCGCAGGTATACAGCATTTATTTATTTGTGTGTGTGTGTGTGTGTGTGTGTGTGTGTGTGTGTGTATGTGTGTGTGTGTGTGTGTGTGTGTGCACGATGTACCTAGCCCAACAGAATGTATGCCGGCCACTGCAGCGCAGGCCGACGGACGATAATAATTATTGTTCCGTGCGCGCACGCTTCTCATATATATATATATATATATATAATATGTATTTAATACGTCTATGTCTATGCTACTCGTGTATGTGTGTATGTGCGTGTAGGAGTGTGTGTGAGTGGTGTACGCTGCCTACAAGACGACCGACTACATTATTATGATCCGGATTCCTACGAATCACGACCTGTGCGAGTTGTTGGTATATAATATAATGCAGTACACGATATAATATGTTATCTTCTTCATTCCACTCGTCTAGAATTATAATTAATATTTATAGGTACTAGGAACTAGATATATATATGTTTAAGAACTAGTTTCTGTCCCTCCCCCACTGTACATATACATATGCTACATAATATATTATAGAAGCGTACGCTCCTTATTGGGATACCCGAATACCTCTATAAAAGTACGCACACGCGTGAAACAGCCAAAAATCCATTTTACTGGGTACACGTTTTAGTGGCCCGATAGTTAAACAAACCTTATTATGCTTCAAATCCGGTTTTACGGTTTGTCGTCGGCAATGGGTCAAGCTTTACATATTATATAGTTATATATGTTTATGTACAATGTATAGAGTGGGAGCGATATAAACGCGTTATAAACAAGTATATACTATACACCTATCGTATAGCCTAATGTAAAAGTCAACAATTAATACAGTTAAGTACATACCAACTACTGCGGGCAACCGTGGATGACTTATTGTGATGAATCTGAATGGTTTCTGAGGATTAAGAGCCCCGGTAAAACGACCTTTTTTTATTTACGTGACTTCTAGTTTTGTAGTCTAATATAATATTATTAATGTCTAAAATATTACTATTTTAATGTTTAATTTAGAAATATCTACAACAGACATAGGTAGTCTAACACTCTGTTAGGTATTTTAATATCTAATTTTTAAAATTATACTTAAATACTTTTGGTTATAAATGTTATCTTATATTTAATTCATTTTTATTTTAAACCTTAAGAAAAGTTACGAGAGTAAAGAGAGTACTCTTAAGTTTTAACTATTTGGCATTATTTATTAAATATTATACTTCTTCATGGACAATACTACTGGCTATACTAGCTCAATTATATTCGGTGGCTGATATAATTTGGTCTATTTGGATTTTGTAGCCCGATCTTATAAAACTCGGATTACTATTATTCTAACTGAATACGACTATATAGGTACTAATGTGTAGAAAAAAGGTAGACCTTTTTGGCTTTTTTAAAAACAATTATTATCACTGTTCTAGTCTACTGTCTATTTATACTATAATAATTAATAGGTATACATGTTGCATTACATATATCAGAATTCTCTTAAAATAGTCTCCATTATAATCATTATCCATTTTTTGATTTCGTAATGGTAATTGTTGGTGACCAAAATATTACGATTTTTATTGGAATTTAAAATAAAAGGCTCCAAAAAATATACAAAATTCTGATATGTATGTATATTGAATTAAATATTTACTATAAGCCCACAACTAAGAAATTACTATCATTATTCATAATAAACGCATCAATATCTAGGGTAGGTATATGATATATATATATCATTATACATTTGCATTTTAAAGGAGTGAATAGTCCATAGGAAAAATAAAAATAATATACTATAAACACCGATGGTCATTAAATAAGTATCTATGTAATATACTATGGAAATAGTAGACGATTAAAAAAATGGATATTATTATAGTAGAGTACATAGTAGACATTAATACTGTAGATATTAAGATATTTATTTTTTATGCATAAGCTTAAAAGATTAAAGACAGTATGCGGTAGGTCGGTAGGTACTAGTGGACAGCGGTAAACTGTATGTCTGTATTATTATCATAAACATATATAATATCTATGATTACTATTTAGTATAATAATATATATATATATATATATAGGTATTAGGTATAGGGGAAATAGTAAGTTCCTACACGAGAGCAGCAGGTAAACAATTACATACGTTAGTTCCTACACGGACATATGTAAGTTCCTACACGGTAAGAACCAGGTACGTATGTTAGTTCCTACACGGTAAGAACCAGGTACGTATGTTAGTTCCTACACGGTAAGAACCAGGTACGTATGTTAGTTCCTACACTGCGGAAAGGGTTAAATATGTATATTATACACAGACGTATCGTTTTAATAATAATATGTCCAGCCGTAGCTTACTATAATATACATTCAATTAATATACTTCATTTAAAGCAAAACGTATACAAAATTACGGGAAAATACGATAATATACGGAAAACATTATATTTTTTAATCACCATATTGTACAATATTTATTTGCACTATGACGATTTTTATTATATTTTTTAATCATCATAATATATTTGTTTTTTAAATTCGTATATACATATTTAATTGTGTATAATATAGATCAGCGGTTCCCAAACTTTTACGACCACGGCACCCTTAAAAAATTGTTTGTGTTTCGCGGAACCCTAATGTCTAATCCAACTCAACTACAATTTTTGTGAATTAAAAAAGGAAAATCAATTCCTTAAACTCTCAAGTCTAAATAATATTTTAATGATACTGTTAATGACTTTTCATTATTCAATTTAGTTTCAAAAAAAATTTTCAATCAAAAATTATTTAAACAACAAACATTAAATAAACATAATTTTCTCAATAATCTATAATATATTTTATAGTGTAAGTTGAAGCAAATGTTTTATGTTCTCGGACACTAATAATATGTCCAAATGCTAAAGACGACTGGAGTACCTACTAAAATTTAAAAAAATACTGTCTAATCGGAATTTTAGTTTTTAGGTTCCAATATGAAATACAAATCAGAAACCTTGTACAACATTTTCAAGCCTTAGCTATTAAAATTAAACATTTTATATATTTTTCACTATAAAATAGTTTGAAAATATTCGTGATTTTGACTAAATTATTGTGACTTCCGATTTATGTTAACATTTTAACTTCAGACATTTTTTAAATAAGTAGGTAGTACCTACTTATATATATATTTTTAATATTTTGGGATAATGTACCTGTTAAAGTTTTAAGTATTTTTACCGAACTCAAACATTTTATCAACACTTAAAAAAAATAGTTTTAAATGTAGATTAATAGCACTTAAAATAAGTAATATATTGGTCAGTAAGTTTTTTGAAAAGTACATCGATCATAGAAAATTTTAATTTTAGTAACAGTAGATTGCTTCAACTTATTTAAAATAATTTTTTTTGAGTTTAAACAAAAAACAAAAATCTTTAATTTAAGCCTGAATATCTAATTTAGTCACAATTTTATTTAACTTTAGACGCTCATAAATAATATTTATGTTATTACTCAAAACATTTTTATAATATTCTTATAAGAAAAATGTGTATGAAACCTTATCCCATATTTTCAGACATTGGCTATTACATATTTACACTTAAAAAAGTTATGCATTTAACAACAAAATGAATGGTGAATTTCGCGATTTTCATAAATCTTGTAAAAATGTTAACTTTAAAATAAAATAGTGTGAATATGTATATTCGGTATTTTTTTATTGTTGAATGAACAATAAGTGTATGAGGAACATATTGTATTTCATTTTGAAGTTTAAATTATCTTTAACTATAACTTTACCATGCATAAATGAATAAAAAAAATGAAAGTTTAAAATACCTATAATTAACATAAAAGAAGCCCCAATATATTTTTTAAATTATTTCAAGTAAGTACTTATAGTTAATATCAATATGAATATTCGATGAAAATTACAAAGTGATAACAGACAGATAATAAAAAATAAAAAACACACATAATTTTAAAATCAAAGCATACATTCAGAATCTAAAAGAAATTAAAGCAATTTTGCGATTTTCGTATGGTGCGCAAGGGTTAGTTTAATTTCAGTATTTTTGGATGGTGACTTATATGCGAGTCTAAAATTATAATGTATTTACACTTATTAATATATAGGTATAATGGTGGTCTAACTGAATACTTTTCAATATAGATATCATCTAGAAAGTATAATACATATAAATTATAATATAAATAGGTAGGATTATAGTACCATGCGCACATAAATACAATATACGTCCATGCTAACTTTACACATATATGTATAGCTCATATAGATATAAATTATTAGGACATGGAGTATAAAATTGGCGTCTACAATGTCAGTGAAATGATTCAGCTCCGTCAATAGTACATAGTATATTGGTGTTATAGACTGGTTGAAGACCATAGTTTGGAGTGAAATTTTTGTCAATGACCAAGTGTCATGTAATTATCAAGTACTACCTACGCAATCTGAAAAATCAATGTCCTCCGTGGGTGACCTGGAAATTAAATATTGAAAATACATCCTTGACTTTCGATTATTATTATTATGGATTTAAATATAATTTTATTTATTGTTTTTTTTCTTGTAAAAGAATCTAACTTTGTCATAAAATGAAAGGAAGAACAACGAATTCTGAAGAACATACCCAAATAAATTAGTTATTCCCACATCATTTGATTTTGAATCCAAAAAAGAATAAAAAACATAAAAATTTTTTACAAAAATATTTAAATTGAACAACATACTTGGAGGCGTAGGTCGTTAAACGCGTTCGATGTACCAATTATCAACTGGTACAATACAACCATCACCAAAAACATTTTTAACGACATAGCATTATTTTAGTAAGGTGCCTAAACATATATATTATATACTATATAGTATCAAATTAATTTAAATATATTACTCAAACATTATTTCAGATAACAGTTAACATATTTATTTAACTCTATAGAATTGGGTTCAATCTGCCATCTGGATTGTAGCAGAAATCAAAAACACCTAAAAA